ACTAATTGATGAAGGAATGGTGACATTAAGTAATGACTTACATCCATCAAAACAATACATTGGTATTTCTTTCATTGTAGTTGGTATAGTAATTCTTGTTAATGATATACAACAACTAAAACAATAATCTCCTATTTCTTTAATCTTTGTTGATAAGTTATCACTTATCATTGACACACATCCATAAAAAACAGTATTTTCCAAATGAAGTAATAGTTGATGGAATGGTAATATCACTTAATGACTTACATTTATAAAAACAATAATCAGGTAATTCATTGATTGTAGTTGGTATAACAATTTCTTTTAATGAAGAACAACCAGCAAAACAATTCTTTCCTAATTCATTAATTGTAGTTGGGATAATAATTGTTGTTAATAAGGTGCATTCTTTGAAACAGTTATTTGCTAATTTATGTATTGATGATGGAATATTAAATTGATTAATGTTTTTCATTTTAACTCTTTTTCCATTTATTGTTTGTAAGTTTTTTGGTGTTTTAATGCTCATCAATATTGCTTCATTCATAAATATCCTTTCTTTACTAACAAACATTAAATTTTCATTAGAAATATTTGTTAATGAATAACAATCATCAAAACAACTCTCCCATAATTCTTTTATTGTTGTTGCTATAGTAATTGATGTAAGTGACCAAAATTGGTCAAAACATTTGTTTCCTAATTTGGTGATTGTTGTTGGGATATTAAGTGTTGTCAAATCATAACAATCTTTAAAACAATTCTCTCCAATAATACTTACATTCTTTGGTATTGGACATCCATATTTTTCTCTATCACTTTCTGTGTATTTTATATGTTTACATTCATTTCCTTCTTCTTTCTCTTTTAAGTACTGTGAATAACTAATATCATACCATATTACTTTTTTAAATATTCTTCCATCATCAAATTCTTCATCTTCTTCATTATAAATATGAAATGTTTCAATATTAGGAAAGAACTTTCTTGAATATTCATCTAATGGAATTGGATTAAAATGAAATCGTTCAGTATTTCCTTGAAATCTTTTAATTCCTATTTCTAAATTAATAAAATCTTTAATATCATTAAAGTACATTGATGTTATCATTATTTCATTATATCCTAATTTCATTATTGATTTTTTATTTATTAGTTGTTTTTATTAGTTCTTTTATTTTTTTATTTTAATTTCTTCTTTTTTATTCTTTATCATCATTCTATTTTTATTAATTGATGTTTATTATAAAAAACAATAAATAATAACAAATAAAATAAAATGATATTTATTTTTATTTTTAATAAATTCATAATTATTAAATATTTCATTTTATTTTATATTTTATTCATTATTTCATTTTATATTTTATTTTTATTTAATAATATAATAATAAAATATGATAATAGATAATAAATATAATAATAAATGAATAATCAATATATTTATAATAAATGACAATATAATTAATCATATAATTAATGACAAATAATTATGACTTCATTTATTCTATTATCTTTTATTTTTATTCATTCTTAATTTATTCTTTTCTTTCTTTATTTTTATTATTATTTTATATTTAAAATGATTATTTAAATAAGAAATAATATAAATAAAATAATATAATGAATAAAACATAAATAAAAGAATGTATCAATTGATAAATTAAATTAAATAATAAAATATTTATATAATATTTCAATATTTAATAAAATATGATAAATTAAATGATAAATAAATATAATATTCAAAACATAAATTAACAATGAATAAAATAATATATCAAATAATGAAGAATGATAAATAAATGAAATAATAAAATATAAAATTATTTAATTCATATTTACATTCATTTATATTAATTTAAATCATTTCAATAAATTATAATCAAATAATTATACAACAATAATAATATAAAATGGAAATATAAATAGAACATATTAATAAATAATATAATAATATAATTATAAACAATTTAACATATAAAATAATAAAATAATATCAAATGAAAATAAAAATAAGAATAAATAAAATAAATACAATAAAATGAAATAACATAAACATATAAAATAAATAATAAATAATAAAATGATAATAAATCAAATAAACAAAACATAATATATTTTTAAAATTAAGAATAAAATTAAAAATAAGAAGATATAAAAATGAAAATAAAGAAATAAAAACAAATGATGATACAAATTTTAATGATTATATAACTTGATTATATCATTTCATTATTCATATCATTAAATACATTTCATTTTATTAATATTCAAAATAAATCAAATAATATTTATTAATTAATCATCATTTATTAAATAAAATTATTTTATGAAGAAATAAATAGATAGAATATAGAAATTATATAAAATACGAATAAATAAATGAAAATAAATATTAAATAATGATTCATTATATATTTTAAAATAAACAATAATCAAAATAATATATTAATAAAATATGATAATGAATAAATGTTTCAAATTAAATAAAAATAAATATAAATAACATAATTGAATAAATAAAATAAATATAAAACAATGAAATAATGAAATAAATATTATTTTATTATTTATTCTCTATAAATTTATTTATTATTTATTAATATTTGATTAATATTATTATCTATTTATCATGAAAATGAATATTAAATTATTATAATTAATTTAAATGTTGTTATAATTAATTGTATTTATATTTTATTTTTTCATCATTTTATATTTTAATTTCATATTTTAATAATATTTCTATTGTTATTTTATCATTATTCATAATTATTATTTTAATTATTCTTTATGGTGATTGATGTTGATAATTTATATTATTTTTATCAATAATTTATATATCTTATCTT